AAATTTGCACGTGGGAGATATTTGTCGTCTAGAAGTCTTCAACTGCCAATGTTTACGTAGTTTGGCGCAGGCTGTATGGAGCAAGCGTGTAAGCAACCCTGAGGTAATGCGTCGCGCATTTGGTAATGATTCGATGGAGAATTTGTTGTCTCATCGAATTCAGATTAGTCGACTTCACTGGTTGTTCACGTATTGCGCGGGCTTAACCATCGTCTACCGCACCGTGCCTTGCTTGCATTTGCGGCTCCAGGTTGGAAGAAACCATGTGGAGGTCAACAGAGCGATTGGGTAGGATAGGTCTCCCGTCCTCCGGGATGGGGTTCAAAGGACAACTAGTTGGTGGGAGACACCCAAGGATGTGGGAACTAACCGACAGCAGTGGCGTGCTTGTTGTCATTTCTTATCAAGTCGGAATGCTTGAAAAAGTATTTATGCACACTTGGATTGCGTACTCCGTGTGCTGACCATAGAGATTCACTTTCTTTGTCTCCCTCCAACGAAGTCAAATCCCTCTACATCTCGTGCGTCATCACTTGTTTTGTGAGCTTGGCAGCGATCAGTGAAGTTAGCTTCAATGTATCTCGCTGTACGATGATGATAGTCTGACCTGGTTGTTTCTACTCAAGTAGACTGACAGAAGAGATGTCAGCGCCTAACGCAAGGCGCGGGTGGCTTTCAATAATCCACAACACTTGTGGCGTCGTTGCGATATGCCTTTATTCGAAGGCAAATTCCTCAGCGCGCGGTCCTACCTCACGACTGCGAGCGCTGATCATCTCACGCAGAAGACGTAAGCGAATCCTAGTTCACTGCTGCAACAACAGAATACTTCGGCAACAGCGAAACACCAACGAGAAGGCCTGCCGAAGTATCTTTTCCTCCCACAATTTTAGTCGTACTCTGAGTGTACCCGACTTCGATGACTGGGACATTTGTTGGGGATGTCGTTTCAGCGCCTCACGATTGTTACGGTTGAGCACACTGACACCAATTGGAAGCGGAGACATGGTGGATAACGAATAACCTGCGCCCGAACGACGACGGACTAAACCTCCAAAATGGTAGTTGTAGGATGTCCTAGGCACCCAGAGACAGCAAGCATCTATAGCCTGAGACACTAGGCGACATGGTTCGAAACCGTGCACCTGTTTTGGTTGGTATCTTTGAACCTCCTCCACATATTGTGGCCCATTTGACTATTGTATGTAATTAGAAACATGAATGTAAGTACATTTGTAAAAACTATAGGAGACACGTTGAATACATTTTACAGAATAAATCTGAATTTGTTCTTCATTTGTATTTTATCTACTGACGAGTATTTGAGCTAGTTATCAAGAGTTAATATCAATCAATTTTTGAGGTAACGGAAAGAGTAGCTTTGCGATGTTGCTATTCCACCAAAAGGCAGCAAACATAACTGGCGCACAAATATGCATGGTTAATGGTTGTAAGAACTGTACTGAACCCTCGAATAGAACAGAGCATTCCGTGTTCTTGTGCGATTCCGGCAAACACACGATCGGCGAGGTTCACTCGTCGATAGCTCGGACGGACCCGGTGCAACAAGACAAGTGACGCTCACCGAACCACCATAAGTGAAAAGTGACACCTTGTCCGTTACCTTGAGTTTTTAGCGTGTCGTGTAGGCTATCATATTCTCTAGCGTAGCAGCACTGCGGCATCACACGGCCGGGCAACAGTAAGAGAATCACAAACATTACTAATTCCAGATTTCCGAGATTACAGCTTGTGCAAATCGAATGAAACCATCCTATCAGATGGCTAACAATGTGTGAGGATTTGAACTACGCAGGGACACGAATGAAGGCGATAACATAATGAGAAGCGATGGAACAACCATCCTTTAATTTTTATTTAAGTATATGAATTAAAATGCGGTGGAAATGTTTTGATAACCGACAAAGACAACTGGACAGCTGTTTCGTCCTGTTTGTTGATATCCGTCGACCGTGTAGCTCAGGGATAAGGGTTCGAAGTGCCAACCCAAATGTTCGCGGTTTGAGTCCTGACAGGGACACAAAATGTACGCACTGCTGACAACTCCCAAACAGGACGAAACAACTGTCCAGTGCTCTTTGTTGGTCATCACAAATAATTCCACCGCATTTGAATGCATTCACATAGTGGGGAATGAACGATCTCCCGAAGAGTGAAACCCGCACCGAACATTAGCAACAGTGCCTGGCGTCTGTAAAAAACCGAATGGGCTTATCCGAATATAAACTATCTAAACATGTGAATTATGAAGTCCCTTACACGCAGCCTCGGTGAAAAACGAACTCGATGTCGCAAACAAGCATGGATAAATAAGTTCGTGAGGATTTTGCTACCCATATTGAAGTCAGCAGTGATAGGTCCCCTTGCAAATAACCGAGAACATCCAAAGAAAGACGTAATATCATATTCTTCATATATTTCTTCAATGCAATATACATTTCGTGAATTCGAACAATACCGAGAATAGCGCCTGGATTACAGGGACTAATCGTGATTCAGTTAAAAAAACTTCGTCTTGGCTTTATTTGGCCTAGGTCGAAGTGAATAAAACGCTTTCCGGCGTGCTACCTGTCAACCATTTATGCGGGTCAGATAGAAACAGACGGATGGGACTGCCGCACACCTCAACAGTTTCTACATGTGGAGATATGTACAAACCACGCGCACGGTAATCTGTAAAACTCTTAGTGTGCATCTAGCAGATTCATACTTCTAGTGGCATTCGTATTCAACCCAAGAAACCTACATTGACGAAACCGTTCTGCTTACCATTTCCCCAAATCTGAATTGTGATATTACGCTAAGGACCGCTTCGTGTTTAGCCGACAAAGACTCGGGAAATGTTTGAAGCCTTAAACGCTATGGACGGTGCAATAAAGGTTAGAAAACTTAACATGGAAAGTTAGCATTCACACAAGCACCAATGTTCACGTGTCTCGCGGTACCCGAAAATGATCAAACCTCGTTATTCATAACACTAAGAGATCTAACTCTAAACAACCTAATTCATCTACGGAGCAATCCTTCCATGGGCAAGTGCCGCTTATGGATGATCTAACATACGTACCACAAACCTCATCCACATGTGACACGACATATTGCGAAGCAAATAAGTGCGTTATCGAAAACAACAGCTCGGTGAAGTGCTTCTACTAGATGATTACCCACGTGGATTTTCAGTCAAATCTACACTAGTCTGGAGCTGCACCGGTGGAGGTCCTGGTATTCTGCTTATTTCAACTGTTCAGTGATTGGCAACATTTTCATGCATCGCGTAACCTTCTTGTCAGCATTCGCACCATGCAGACAAACGAGACAAGTCGCCCTCGACCAATTCAGTCCTACTTCACCGAGGATTGAGGATTAAGACGACGCCCGAAATTGATTTATCCAAAATGGAACAATCCGCCCATTGCATCACACTGCACCACGGTAATAATTAACTCAATGACGCAAAGATAAATATGATCGTACTAACCGTAAACCACAGAAATCATAACGCCAAATCACTGACCACAGAAGACGGCAGTCATCTCTCGTCAACCACATCTGAATAGCGGAGGTCCTCTGGGATGAATCCACACCCTTCGGAAAATCTGATCAGTTCGACGGTCTCATTGCGTCGCACTCGACACTATGTGACCCATCATTGTGGCGTCACCTGTGTGCAGTATTCATTAGTAACTCGTACGATACTATCCCGAACGTGAGCGTACGCACGTCACGTTGACCGACTTCCCTCGACCCACCCTGCTAATTGAACGTAACTTCACCGGCCCTTTCTTCTCGAATAGTTACATTTCATAACTCATCCTCAGTCCAAGTGCAAAGGAGAACCAACTTTAGCTTCCAGTATGGACCGCTGATTGTACACCTCCGGTTTGCAATTTGCAGAGTTACGGTAACAGTACCTGTTGGACAAAACAGTACAACTTTGGTATACATACGCGCAATTCCCTTATAGTACAGCTAATTGTCTACAGAAAGCACTGTACCAATGGCTGAACACACTGACAACTGCCACCACGATCCGTAACGAAGTCACCGGCGTTTATGATTTACCAATACCTGCCGATTAACTTGCAATACGGTCTAAGGCTATTAACTTTGGTGGTCGATCGGAGGAGAACACCGGTATACGATAGAGCAGCTTGTCCTGAAAAACTGAGTTTATTTGCTTATCCACACACATTGCCTCGAATACGCTGTGATGATAACGCAGATTGAGACGAATGCTAGTTACCGGTATCCCGCTATCAATAGTTCTTACTGCACTACAGGCGTCATGTGAACCTCGTCGTTTGTTCATCAACACTTGCCTTGGAGTTAAGGGCCTTAGTGGACCGGCGCCAGCTCATATCTTAGACTGCACACAGGCGTCTCAAACGGTTGTATACGCTGATTACAAGTGTAAACCTGGATTCACGAATATCCAAACCAAGAACATCAGGCGCAAGTCATCCCTTATGGCGACGTGTAGTGAACCCCATTTCTCTTGTTTGGTAAGGAATCATGAAATTGAGCACACGACCAACCTCAAACGCAAACAAGCCGCAAGTTACCAACCGGTTTTTCAGTAATCAACATCCGTAAACTGATCAGAGCACCTGCGAACGACCTTAGCTACTCCACCTTGACAATCCCAGTGATCATGACAAATCGTTCCCTCTAAGAATACAGCTAATACCCTAGGCGGGAGAGTAGCAATCACGGAACATACGCAACAAGTTGCAATTTTCAAACAGGAGCAAAACAGAGCAATACCCGAGCAGCGCGATGGCATAGGCATCAAGATACGAACCTGCAATCCCTAGCACCGAACACTCGCAATAAAACAAAGCGACCGAAAAGCACAGGCTTAACAGATCCTACGACTGTATAAACGAAACCGAAGAAAACCGAGGCAGACTAGTCGAGCAACGAAACAAAACAACCGAATTTCCACTTAGGTTTATTGCTGGGCGCGGTTACAAAAGCATTTACTTCTTCTTGGCAACTTTTTGTGCTGACTTTGTGGCTTTCGCTGCTTCGGACTTCTTGTTCACCGACTTGATAACACCTACAGCGACTGTCTGTTTCATGTCACGCACAGCAAACCGACCAAGTGGAGGATATTCGGCGAACGTCTCCACACACATGGGCTTGCTCGGCACCATGACTACGATTGCAGCATCACCGGACTTGATCATGGCAGGATTCTCTTCCAGAACTTTACCGGAACGACGATCAATCTTTTGAACAAGTTCGCTGAATTTGCAGGCAATGTGAGCGGTGTGACAATCAAGAACGGGAGCATAACCGGCTTTAATCTCACCGGGGTGGTTCAGCACAATAACCTGGGCATTGAATGATTCAGCAGCTTTTGGTGGGTCATTCTTGCTGTCACCAGCCACGTTACCACGGCGGATATCCTTCACTGAAATGTTCTTCACGTTGAAACCAACGTTGTCTCCGGGAACAGCCTCTACCAAAGCCTCGTGATGCATTTCGACAGATTTCACCTCAGTCGAGAGGTTGTTGGGGGCGAAAGTGACAACCATACCTGGCTTGAGCACACCGGTTTCGACACGACCAACGGGCACGGTACCAATACCACCGATTTTGTAGACGTCTTGCAGCGGTAACCGCAGGGGTTTGTTCGTTGGTCGTTCTGGAGGATCAATGGCATCCAAGGCTTCGAAAATGGTATGTCCGGACTTCTTTACATCCTTCTTCTCCATTGTCCAACCCTTGTACCACGGCATTTTATCACTCTTTTCCAACATGTTGTCGCCCGCCCAGCCGGAGATAGGAATGAACGGCACAGCCTTCACATCATATCCAACCTTCTTCACGTATGAGGAAACATCCTTTTTGATCTCCTCGAAACGAGCCTCGCTGTATGGCGGCTGTGTCGTATCCATTTTGTTCACCGCGACAATCATTTGTTTCACACCGAGGGTGTATGCCAGAAGTGCATGCTCTCTCGTTTGACCGTCCTTTGAGATGCCAGCCTCGAACTCACCAGTACCAGCTGCAACGATCAGAACGGCACAATCGGCTTGAGATGTGCCAGTGATCATGTTTTTGATGAAATCACGATGTCCCGGAGCATCGATAACGGTCACGTATTTCTTGTTGGTCTCAAACTTCCAGAGAGCAATGTCGATGGTGATACCACGCTCACGCTCTGCCTTCAGTTTATCCAACACCCAGGCGTATTTGAAGGAACCTTTACCAATCTAAAGGAATATGAACATCGGAAACATTAACTCACCTCAGCAGCTTCCTTCTCGAACTTTTCAATAGTACGTTTATCAATACCACCACATTTGTAGATCAAATGTCCAGTAGTTGTTGACTTTCCACTGTCGACGTGACCGATAACGACAATATTGATATGATCTTTGTCCGAAGGCATTCTGTCGGCGCGTTACAGCGTGCAAGAAAATCCGACTCACCTGAGCACAGCGACTGGCAACGCGGTAAACAGCAAACTGTGTGCGACAGGACGGAAGCGGAAATACAAGTGCAGTTAAACAACACTAAAAGTAAAGTAAAAGATAGACAAAAAATTGCTCAGTAATCATGTTATTCACACAGTTACTATCTTGTGATAGAATTATAATTTTTCTCTCTTGGTTATCCAAAGCGCACAGTTTGAATGATAGTTTCTCTTCATGGTGAGCAACCTCGCGGAAATAAATTGGAAACTGCATCATCTCCTCCCACCGCGAATTTGATAATAGTTGACTTTGCGTGGATGGATATCTAGAGGTTAATAAAAATCTCGAAATCAGGCGACGAAAATTTATTTAAAATCAGTACATCAGCCGACAATTGATAAATTAATGCTAGTATCCGCGCGTCTGCGACTTTATTTTCTACTTTGTCGATGCATTTTGGCAAACTGAAGAGAAGCAGAAACAAAAGTGACTTATTCCATAACTATTACGGAATGAATTGTCTATTTTTGATTGTTTTTTTATCAGCGTTTGGGTTTTTGGTATTGATTTTGCAACATCACCGTAGATTTTTTCTTTCGAAACTGATTCTCGTCCCCTATTGTAATTAAATTATTGTAGTATTGTAGTGATGTATTTAGTGTATTTAGACGACTTTCTTACGGAAATCTTAACTTTGTTGTTCTCACAAACATACTTATAGCTGGTACTGATGACAATCGTTTTCACCGTTGTGGAAAAGTTTAGTACGGCGAAATATCACAAGAGTATGGCTGAATTTTCATGTGGGAAGGAAAGATGTGGGAAACCATTGATACGTATTGGTATACAATGTGATGCCTGTGGCCCTTGGTATCATAAAGCCTGTAGCAAAATTGAGAACTGGGTGTATATTCCCGGAGGGTTGAATTCTGCAGTTATCAGGAGATGGGCACTTGGGCGCATAGATCTTAAGCTATTCAGCCGTTCTTTCAGACGTTGTGATTCTAGCTCGCCGCAGGAGTGTGAGCGGTAGACTACTTCTGGCACCAGTGTATCCGAGCTGGTCAGGGGAATTTGTTCTAAGGGGCAGTCTATGAAAGGGATGGGAGGGCGTGATAGAAATATCGCTTGGTAGAGGTGGTCACTCGTGTAGAGAATCACACCACCTGCTCGACTCCTCATTGAGTCTCTTCGGATCAATGAGTAACCTGCAAGGGATATTTCGCCATCGCTGTTTTCCGGAGTAATCAGGTTTTTGTGAGGGCTAGAAAATGGGGTTTCTTGTCAGCCACTAACTGTTTGATTTCCAGAATCTTGTTCAAGATGCTGAGACAGTTAGTAAAAACGCACTTCAGAGCCCAATCATCAGAGATTTCAACAAAAGCAGGGTTAAAGGGGTATCTTTGGTAGGGGCTCTAATTTGGCAACCGATTCACAATAAGTGGGCTGCGGAGGGAGTCCGGATTACGGACTATTCTAAGGGCGGCATGATTACCTCGACCTGGCGAAGAGGTCGGGAGGACAAGTAGGATTGGATGTGGGGTGAAAAGGGACAGTTTGCGATCCCTTACAGAAGTGTACGAAGTATCCTTGTTGCCTGCAAGGAGCGTCAATGAGAAAAGGAGATTGTAGTCCTAATGACCCGGTTGGGAAGTGTAATACGGGCGGTTTGCCGAGTAAATCGCTCCTGTGTGGCTTTGGATTAGGAGACTTCTTGTCTTTATCGTAGCGGGGGTGTGGTTCCTCAGTGTCGAGGCTGTTGGGGGGATGTTTGGGTCTCGCTGCAGGGATGTGATTGAGGCCCTGGAAAATTGTCGTGTCTTGGGAGGTGAAAAAGTTGTGGTCGCTTGATGGTCTACTCGTGAGAAGGGGATTACTGGTTGACAGTGGAGTTTGGGGTCGCTGGCACCCTTGTTATTTCTGAGGGCTTCCTTCCGCTGAGTTCGGGCATGCAGTAGCCTGTCTGGGAAAACTCCGCGGACAAGGTTGCACGTCCTTTTCCGAAGTCATCAAACCGGTTTCAGAGCAGGATCGCCATGCTTGACTTACTCGGGAACTAGATAGCGACGCCTTCATTGTCTGATCAACTTAGCGTTCTGGCGACGACAGAATAAACAATTGCCTGCAACGCTTCTCACTATTGCTCTTCTAATAACTATCCAGAAGCGACGACGAGTAGTATTCAGCAGGNCCGGGGTGATCTTCTTGCGTGTGCATGTGTATGATGATTGTGTGAGCGACTTGGTGATTGTTGGGTACTGCGGTGAAGTGTTTAGCATCAAAGTTCAATTAGACCTGATTCAATCTACCACCTACCCGCAGCAATCTGTTCACCAATATCGGGCATAACCTTTAGAAGAAACCTAGAGACACTGGTCATTTCGAACTAACATCCGCCTTGCTCAGTTGCTGGATTTCGGAGAGGAAGGCTTGCGCTTGAACCATGCGTATGATGTCGACTTCTGTCGTCTTCAGTTCGTCAGGTGAGATGGGTCCAACATTCGAAGTATCGTTTGGTTGAATTCCGGTCATGAAGTTAGTTGCCGTTTAAAGCTTGTCCACAAGACGAACGCTCTTAGTACCTTGGTCCACGGTGAGAATGGATACAACATATGAAGAAGTGTATTGGTTGAAGTGCGAGATACAGCAAAGATCCATTTGATTTTTAATGGTGAAGTAATGAGCAATCCAGAGGAATTGAGAGTTGTCATGCATTCTCTTGGAGTTTTGTCGTCACCGCTTTGTGCAAGTTTTGCTTCGAAAAGGGTGAGTAATCTTTTTGGGAACGAGTGTTCTTTGGATGCTTCTCAAAGGATTCTGAATAGTATTTAGGTCGATGATTTTCTGAAATCCCTTATGGACGAGAATGAAGCCGTTTCTCTGGTTGACGTCTTTTGCAGTTTACTGAACCAGGGCGGTTTCAAATTAACAAAGTGGTTGAGCAACAGTTGAGAAGTGTTATGACGGATTCCTGATAAGCTGAGAAGTACGTCAGTGAAAAGTATGGAAATCGAGGGTTTGCCAACTCAGCGAAATTTAGGTTTATCATGGACAGTAGAGAGGATGCGTATCAGTATGAGGCTTAAGGACCTCAAAATACGCGGAGAGTGCTATTGTCTCAGATGTCCTCCATATTCGACCCGTTAGGGTGAATCGAACCTCATGTCTTCCCGTTGAAAACCTTATTTCAGAAGTTCTGTATACAAGCCATAGGGTTCCAGCCGAGAATAAAGAATGGCGTCAGTGCATAGAGGTTTTAAGTGAAATTCGTCATGTTCAAATACCTAGATGGTATGCTCGCGCCGTAGAAGAGACAGGGGGCAGAGTCGAGTTGAATACCTTTTGCGATGCGACCGAACTCGGATACATTCTATATACTTATCTTCGTGCGTACTGCCAATTGGCAAGTCTTGATTGCTCTTTTACGGGCTGTAAGCATACCTAGTTTGGAGTTGAATGATGCTGTGCTTACAATTAAATTAACATAACTAGTAAAAAAGGGATGTTAAATTAAGTTTCCTGATACAACTTACCAGACTGATTCTGCTATAGTTTTGCATTATCTGAGGAATGAGATTAGTCGATTTTCACAGTTTGTGTCCAACAGAATTTCAAAGATTAAGGGTTGGACGACAGTTAATCAATGGGGGCACGTCAGCGGGAAAGATAATCCTGCGGACCTCGCGTCTCACGGAATGAGGAGTGGCGATAATTACAAACAGTTATGGTTTGAAGGCCCAGCCTTTTTGCGCAAACCATGAGGCATTCCTCCAAACCACGGCGAGTGTCCATCAGTTTTAGCTGATGACTTGGAGTTGAAGTATAAGATTGCCATCCGTGCGTTGCATTACTTTGAATTTCTGCGATATTTCGGAATATTCTCTTCTTCGCTTAAATCACTAAGATGTGTTGGGCAACTGGTAAGCTGTAAACGTTATTTGCTTGTTTTTGCAGGTACACAAATCAATTTATCTGTGCGTTTAGAGTCATTAAATGTAAAAGAATTGAAAGACAGCTGCAAAGAGGTAGTGCAAATGGTTCAAGCGGAATGTTTTGCTCAAGAATTCGAGCGGTTAGGTAGTGGTAAGCGTTTGCCTTCTGACAGAAGTAAGCGCGGACAAATTTAAATTGAAATCAATCCTAATTAATGGTTTAGTTTGCGTTGGCGTTTTTCTACATTGGAGTAATGCATCCAAAGATAGTGAGCATCCCATTATTCTGCATTGGAGGCACTACGTAACTAAGCCTTAATTCGCCATTACCATGAAGTAGAAGGGCACGTAGGTAGTAATCGATTTCTCTATGTACGTCAATCAGTTCGCACTTGAGTGACGCTTAGCCGAACCAACTCCCGAAGTAAAAACACAATTGATCCGCAATGTTCTACGGTACTGAATTAACGAAATCAATACAAGTAAAAACACAATTGATCCGCAATGTTCTACGGTACTGAATTAGCGAAATCATTACAAATGAGTAAAAACACAATTGATCCGCAATGTTCTACGGTACTGAATTAACGAAATCATTACAAACACAATTGATCCGCAATGTTCTACGGTACTGAATTAGCGAAATCATTACAAAATGTACAACTTTGCAAATCTCAAATATGCGGCCGAAAGCACTCAAGCAATCGAGAACCAAATAGGATGTCCAAGAGCCAACAGGTGGATAACGTTCTCTATCCACGCCAAGCTGAAATGTGGCGGGNATCGAGTCAACAGATGAACAATTGTGTGAGTGTTTGCGAGTGAAAATACGTCAATAAACAAGCAACGCAAGAACAGAGTTACGTCAAATGTAATCATTGTGGGTTGGGAGGGATTTTCAAAAAATCAACGTGAAATGCACTCTACTATTCGCAGAAGTTTCTGGATGGTGCACGGTAGGGTCGTTGTGCGTCGGGTGATAGGACAATGCAAGGGTTAATCTCTTGGGTCTGTACATTTTGGATTCCAATTAATAACACCGT